TGAGCCGGTGAGATTTGAACCGCCGAACTGCAGAACTGCAATCAGCTGAAGTAGCCTGCAGTGCTGCATTTAACCACTGCGCCACCTTGGCTCTTTAAGACGTGTGGACTTTAATTCCCAGAATTCCCCAGCCAAGGATGCAGGAAGGACCCTATTCCTCAAAAGATCATCTAGCTGAGCCTAGCTACACACTCACTCTCTTCTACGGGGCCGGGAAGAAAAGTTGGTTTAGGCCAAACCCATCGGGGGGAAAAACCGAAGCCAAATTTTGCTTGCAAATCACATTGGGATCCCTGGACTGGATCAAACAGTCTATATCAGAAGTCTTCCAACTCGGCAACGTTAAGACTTGTGGAATTCTGGGAGTTTAAGTCCACAAGTCTTAACGTTGCCAAGTTTGGGGACCTATATTAACCCAGTGGATCTCTGGGTTGTTGAGTCGTTATTTGGGGGGCCTTGTCGTGTCCCCGAGATTTTTCTTCCTGCTGCTTTGCACTCAAAAGCAAGCAGGTCTCTCTCTCTCTCTCTCCAAACAGCTCCAGATTTCCATGTCTCGCTGAGTGCTCCGATTTGAATAAACCTGTTTCCGTGGTCAGCTTTCGGAGCGGTGTGATTTTAATGGGCGCGCCCTTTCTTCTTCTTCTTTTGATTAACAAAGCTAACCCGGGAAACGGCTCATCTGCAGCTTGAGCAACGGTTTCATTGACTATAGAGTTTTTGGGGAAACATTTTCCTGCAAGCCGGATCGAAAATAGATGAAGTGCAGGTTGTCCTTGAGTTACCACGGTTCGTATAGCGGCCGTTCAAAAGCTTATAACGGCCCTGAAGAAATGACCATTTCTCACAGACATGACCATCGCAGCATTCTCGTGGCCACACCATCAAAGTTCAGAAGATTCATATTTATGGCAGTTGCAAGTGTCCCCAAAACTCGTTTGAAACAGGAAAACACCTCTCTGGATTTTTTATCCCGGAGGTTCACGCATGACAAATTCAGTCTGAAGCTCTCTTTCGAATCCAAAAAATACTTTATTATATTTAAAACCTTTCTAAAAACATTACAAAGCCGTGCTGCAGCCCGAGTTTCAAACAGCACCATAGGAGAATTTCTGAATTTTATTTGTCTTTCCTCGGTCTTCTAAAAACATTATTTTTGTCAAAAAAAGGAGGCGTTCAAATTGCCAGCGTTACTGGGCAAACCTTTGAACTCTTCCTATGGATGCGAACAAAGTGCTGAAAAGGCAACAGGTGAATCGGTGCTCATGTTGGAGGCTCAGCTCCTCAGGAGGAGTCACCCCGAAACGGACATCCGTGCGCCACAAAGGTGCGGAAGGGAAGGGACGGAGCCCTTTCAAGGCAGGCTGGTTTTCCGGGCCTCCTCCAGCTTCTTCTGAACCACGTTCAGGAGAGAGTCAGAGTAATGCTTCAGCAGCGCGTGGGCCTCGCCTTCCTGGAGGCAGATCGGCCAGAAGGACGAGGGGTCGGTGGCGACGGCGACGTCGGCCTTGTCTTTGCAGTCTCTGGTCGCCAGCTCGCTCTTCATCCAGCAGAAGGTGCTAGAAAGCCTGTGCTGGACGTGGGCGAACTCCTCCTCGGTCCCGCCGGTGCAAGACAACACCTGAAACATTGGAAGGGTTTGTTGTAATATAGTTCCTTGTGTAGGTGTGTGTCCTCCATGGCCCAGTTCATAACAGGGCATGCAGAGCCACGCTGAACCACACAGGAGAAAACAAACTTCTAGAACGCCATGACAACCTGATAGTGCATTACATA